TCATTCTCGCCTTACTTTCGTTCTATATTCTGTTTGCGTTGAATTCTTTTCTTTTTTCTTCTTCTTCTTTTCGAAGCACTTGTTAGTTTTTCGATTGAACGAACTCGTCGGTGAGTGACGAATACCAATCAAAATTCAAATTCTCCCTCGAGAGTATTAGGGAATTACTGTCGATGAATATTCATTAATTGAAGTCAATTGAAGTTGAATTAAATGTGGGAGAGTGCGACGCTCTTCGATATAAAATCGTGCGTACGTAACGAAACTTCCGCCTCGATACGCAATCAGGGTTCATTCGCGAAGAGATCATCGATCAATTGCAGGCCTTCAACACAGGATACAGCATTGACGTTTCCTGCGGCACACCTGTACCGTCCTTGATTGCGATTGTTCAAGCTTAAATCCGTATTCAAGCGTTCGATGTAACAAAGGGAAACCAATCTGTTTCTTTCGGTCTGGTACGCGGTGTAATTCACGTTTCTACAAAGCGGTAATATAAATGTACACCCAACAACTGGTTAATTAGTTTCCAGGCTTGAAACTACTAATCATCGATTATCGAGTCGCGTAGAAAGATTGTTTGAAAATTGTCAACCTCAATGTATCAACATTTGGTTCTTCGATACATCGTAGACCCAGTAGAAATATACTCGCGGAGATATCGTGCAAACAGCGTGTTTCATAATGCATACACTCAACGTCAACTAGGTCCAACGAACTTTCGCAAAAATCCAATAACTATTTCAAACTTCAATTTACCCTCTCTCTCGAAATTCTCGCGCACGTTCGCTCCTCTCTCGTGCCAAATAAACTCGCTCGCAATTGCAATCAACCGTTGCAACGAGCAAAACGGAACAATCAACGAGAGGGCATAAAACGAGCGAGACGATCGCAGCGCGAGTCATCGTCGGCGACGGATAATTCAATTTGATTCACCAAAACCGTGAATTAGTTAAACATTTCACTCTCGTACTCCAGATCGCTGACTACTTCGTTCTTGAATTCTCGTTCTTGCCGATCACTGCCGAACATACCGAACCCTGTTAGCCTCGGTCTGCGTGTTCGTCGAACCAGGCTGACTGTGTAGCGGCTCATATCGGCGTTGAAAAGAATATCACTTATCGCGTGCTGAACGGCCCTTCAAGCGTGAAACGAATACCGTTTCAGCTTGTTCGCCACGAACATCCCGTCTTCGCTCGGTGTGCTCCCATCACGTTAGAAATTCGTTCGTTCTCCGACTGCTGTCTGCTCGCTTTGCATGATGGAGAAGTACGAATTATTTATCAGTCGCCAAATTCTTTTCTCCGTCTATCGACGATTTCGCGATCTGGCTCGACATTTAGATATATACTTGTATGGATCGATGATCTGATCTCTCAAATTATAGGGTCATTATGGGGAAGGATTTTCGTTATGGTTTCGTGTATAATACATTCGTGGCTGGGTCTCGAAATACTTACGACAGATTTATTGGCACGGAAAAAGTCTTTTTCATTGAGGAAAGTTAACGAATTGTAAAGAAACCACGTTGATCCTCGAGGACTGTTGGAGTCTAGACAAAGAAACGTTGAATAAAATAGTCCAACAATACATCACTGATCGGATTATCGTGTATACTGGGATTCGACCAAAATATTTTAGTAAAAAATTTACTAAAAAATTTACTCACAGAGTCTGCGTGAAATTTAAAAGAAATCTCGTGAGAAACGAACCTGGAACAGTGCAGTGTTCGGTCTGAACTCAAACCTAATTTCGTCTTCACAGACGCATTGAAATGATAGATTAGAAGGGATCCGGAGATTCCAATTATTGACGCTGTTTGACACTTTTCGCTGATGGCGGGCCTGTTTTATACGTATTACAGCCAATCAGTTTAAAGTACGGTTCGATTGCCCTGACTGATGCCTAGGTACTAATATTTAAATCGATATCAACCGACCTTAAAGGACGCTAAAAATAAGGGGCCCGCGGATCGTCTGCTAACAACAAAAAGTTACCTTTAGTCATGAATATTCTAAATTTGGACGATAGATTTCTTCATACTGATAAGAAGCCTAATGCCTTTGATCTAGATTCTACGTATATTAATTGAAATTATTGCAGCCATTTCACGATGCAACAGAAAATATCTCGAACACGGTTCGTCGTTCGTTGAAACCATCAATACTTCAACCGTACGTATCTATCCTTTCAAAAACGAATATCCGATATACGAACACGTGTTCTCTTTTCCCTTTTCGCCTACGAATCTTTCATACTGCTCTCGACAGCGAATTTTCGTGCACGTCTTCCATTGGTTGGAACGCGTGCTTCCGCGAGACGGTTGCGACGATGGAAATTTTTATTCGCCGACGCGAGGGGGAAAAAATCAAACCACGAGTCGAATTTTACAAACTCTGACTCTCCACTCGAGTCCATCTTACTCTGGAGTTGCAAATTTCTCGTAGAGAAAAGTAGCAACCTTGAAAAAAGTTGTCTTCCGTATAACGGAAGAATCCTCTAGCTCCGACCAAAAGATTCGACGTACCTCCCACGGCCATTTCGCTCATCTTTCTCAGTTTTATCCGTTCCCTAAACGAGGAAAGGATAGTGTCCATTTTTCTCTTGCACTCGAACGTGGTCATCGGTTTTTTAACCCTTAACTTTTTTTCTTAACCATAAGACGAAAATTGGGTGAAAGCTTCATATGAAACGTTCGTATGAATGAAAACTTAAATAAAACATTTAAACTAGTTTATTTAGATATAAATGCAGAAGATATTTAGTTGATTTATAATATTATATAATATTTTTGACAGTATGATATTTTTCAAAGCAGTTGCCAATGTGTAGTGATGAATATCTCGGCACATGTTGAACAATATGTCTCCTATTGAGGCCTTTAGTATCCCCATAGCGGGGCCTTTAAAGGTTAATAATCACCGACAGCTCGTGCCAAACATCGTTTCGCCTACTTTTCTGATGGTACTCAGAGTTCAGCGGAAAACCCTGAACCCTGTGTTCCACAGAATCTCCTTGTTCTTGTACAAGCTAACGAACGTGAGCCCCATGTCCTTCGACCAATCGACTTGAATCCTCCGTCAACTTTTGACGAACTTTCATCGAAAGTGCAACAGAAGAGGAGGAGAGTCAAAAACACAACGAAATTTACTAGAAATGTTTTATTCATTGGTTGCGCTCAGGTGTTCACCGTTCAGGCGTTTGCAACGCACCGCGCGGAATGTTCTCGAAGCGCTAAGAACAGGCCGAGCGAGCGTCCGCGGCATTTCGTTCAAAATGGCCGCTCTTCGCCGGTCCTCGAACGAGTGCTTGATCACACTGTACCGTGTTCTATGGTACGGAAAGAACGCAGACGTGCCAATGTATAATACTTATTCTTACCGACGTCACCTGCCAAGTTGGTCTTCCGCTGACAACGATTCCGAGTGATTGGGAATTGAGAGGATCGGCTGGGCTGCTATTAGTAGAAACTTTGATTGGATGAACTGCTTATCCCTCGAAGCGGTATCCTCAAACAAATGTCGACGATACTCGAGCGTCGTTTTAATGCATTGCCGAATATATATGAAATTCTATTGGATGATGGACAGAAAAAACTTCTTGTCGATGCAAAGATATTTATCTATATTACACGTTTATCGCGGATAGCGCTTTCTCGACGTCCTTTTTCTTGTACATCCTTCGATCGATGTTTTCATTTTGATTCGTCAAAATAATTGTTTAACATCGCTAGCCAACTTTTATAAGCCTTACGGACAGTTATTCTTGCGATTCCAAGTTCCAGACTTACAATTATTCTTACTCTTGCTCTTAGTCTTTAAGAATCACATCAAAAGTTTATCAAGAATTCGGTCGCGACGAAATATAACCCACCAATCGCGTAATCAGATTCTTAACGATTCCAGATTCATTTCGTGACATCGAAACATAAATCGGTGTCTTCGCACATTCGCCATCGACGTCGCCAGAGGTCTCTGCTTCCAACAGGGTGAGAATTTTTGCGATATTCAAGTTCGTAGCTGCTTCAATTTCTTTTCAAGTGGACTTTCTGTACATCGTATTTTTCTGTACGAACCATTAACTTTTCAGAGAACAACTTGCAATCTAATTGTATGCACGTGTGTGCATTTGACATCATACTCTATACAGGTAGTAGCTTTCGTTTTGAACGGCAGACTACGCCAAGTTTCGATCAGATTGTCAGATTTGTCGTACGTATCGTCGAACGATGAAGCAAAAGTGCAAAACACGATACAATCAATTGTTTAACTTGCGAAATGTAACTTTATATACACAAGAGGATAATCAACACTTTCAATAATACCTCGATTGAACGAGATTGGCTGATTAATACATTTCTACTGGAGTTATAATTGCTATAATATGCCAAAAGGGAAAATTCAGATGAAGAAGATACCTTATATGAACCTTATATCAGACAACGTGAACAGACACTTGTTACTGTTAGAGTTTAGAGAATTTGCCAGCCTAGTGATCAAGAGAGAAGTTGATTCCGCGGCAACCTTGCAGTCTTCCACTTCAGGGACGTGATCACTCTGAACTTTGTCGAAGAAGGTGAACGAGCATATCGATCAGCCAACTTTTAAATATGTCTAAAGTATCTTTAACCACGTCCTATTCTACCTCTCGTGAAAAATTTCTATTTTAAGCTTAAACTTTTGCGAGAAAATTCGCCGAGAAACGAAGGAGCCTCTTTTTTTTCGCTTTTTCAATACTTCGTACAAAATTAACTCGACACGCGACCATCGCGTCGTGAGTGACTTTTTAATTATGGAACGTATGGAAGAACGCAAGGGTCAGGCAATAGGTACTCGAGTATTCATGGCGAATGTGACTCGCATTGTGTCGCGTTCAGAGAAACAGGGCCACAGCTCTGGAAAACGCGGTTTCGCACAACAAAAAATTGTCATGTAATTTCGACTTATTTCGGGACCCGTCCTATTTGTAGCGCGTATTATTTGTCCATTCTGCGAATGGAACGTGTGCGGAGACAATCGTTGAGATGATGATTTGTCGGCCGTGATGCAAAGTTACGTGGTTTCGGCAAATTCCACACGTTGAAACGAAAGTGTAAAAGAAGAAAAAAGAAGAAAAGAGGAAAAATCAGCTACATAAGCTGGACAAATGAAACAATTCTGATGTGGAATTTTTTAAATTAGCAACTACGATAATGAGCGTTGATGGAATTTTTAAATCCTAGAGTATCAATGTTCGTTCTCTTACATCTAAAACAATGAAATTATTTTAATGTTGAAATATTGAACAGCTTTTTAAACCGCATAGAACTTTCTTCGATTTGAAAAATATACACGATCTACTGGAGGATCTACTTACGCGCGTAAAAGACGACGTTTTGCGTACACCAAAAAAAACCTAATAAAACCCACGTCTTTACTTTTTTTTTATATGCGTAGGTAATATTAGTAGCCTGAATGGAAAGTTTCTCGGTCACCAGTAACCGACCAGTTGCGCGTTAAAACACACAAGATTTTGTTGCACGCTCGTAAATGTGTATGCCGTTTTGCCACGCTCTACGATAAGAAGACGTTAGCAATAGGCTTTTGAGTTTCAGTGGAATAAGATGGAGTAAATCTGCATATGTCTGTAGAAATCAAATTCAGAATTTCTTCCTAAAAAAAAAAAAAAATAATAATAATAATAATCACCTGGTTTAGAGATTTTTATTGACTTCCAATTCCATGACGAAGTGAATCGTCGAACAGCAAAGGAAAGAATTTTTCTGAATTGATACAATTCGACACGCGTCCACTGAACATTCGTATACTTCAAGCATCATTTGCATATAATCTCTTTGATGATTCATTGGAATGCGCAGGGGCCGCGCGGATCGGATTTTTAGCGCTGTTCAACTTATTGTCCGCGAGAAATGCCGTGCACGTACTAAAGCAACGCGCGAGTGCTTGTGTTATGAGTGTCGCGGTTCAGTCTTCATGTGACCAAAGTTGCATCGTAATCACGTATGTATTATAACGTTGCTGGACCTCTTCACGACTAATGGGATAACCCAGAGTGTATGCAACTTTAATGCAAACGAACAGCTTTGATGCAGCTCGTGGCGTAGCTTTTCTGTTCTTAACGTCGAAATAAGTTATTCAAGTCAATTAATTTAAAAGACAACTTTTCACAAAGTGTGATCAACCTATCTTTACAGCATATAGGTATCGTTTCTTTATTAAAAAAAAAAAAAGAGTCCAAAATGAAAAAGGAAGAGATTCGCTTCCGAATCGGATGCAAGCGGTTCGCGCGTGCAGAAAAAAATTCCTCGCGAACTCCCGCGCCAAGTCGACAAAGGTCGACTCGACTTTCCTTTGCTCGGTATCGAGCACCGTGTTCTGTAAAACGATACGAATTGATTGCAGCAATGACATTCGACCATCGTTGCGGCGCGAGCTCGCGGGGGAAAGGATATCGAGATATCGGCCTCTCGCGGCGAGGTTGAAATCTTCGGCGTATCGGGAAAAAGGAGACACTTCATTACCGCGTCACGCTATCGACTCCATATAATACTAGCTCTTCCTTATCCTCTACGTGACTCAATTTACTCGCGCGATTGCCTCGCCGGGCGCGAGAGGCGACCGTCGCCCATCGCGTTTGTTGGAATCGCGCGTTGTTGGAACTTCCTTCCCCTCTGCCCCTCGCGACGTTAATTTACTCGAAATGAAATCCTCTGCTGCAGAAACTCTCGCGCTTGCAAAACGCTGTTTCTCTAAATTAGGAGATTACCGCGAGGAAAGGATATTAAAACTTCCCGCGAAACTTATTCTGTTTCTGGGATTTTTACAATGATACTCGAGGCAAGGTACGGGCGCCAAGTCTCCGAGCGATACACACAAGAGATTAAGGATAATTGGATCGCGCTTCTCTTTTTTTCTTTTCTTCTAAAAACATGGTGCTGCTTCTGCTTTAAATTTAAATTCGTGCAAGTACGTAGACCCTATTTTATAAATGACACGAGGTGTGTTTGGCACGGCGCATCTTCTTGACGGATTCGCGTAGTTCACGTCGATCAGTTCGAATTAACTTTATTTAATCGAATTAACTTTATTTAACCACTCGTCATTCGTTGCTTTTCCAATGGTCTTACGTAGCAAAATCAATTGACATCGATGTCTTCGTACGGTGGAAAATTTCACGACGCGCGTTAGATCTAGAATTAGAAGCAACACCTGTTTCAAGACACCTTCGAAACAAACCTTTGGCACAGCGCAATCTTTTTGAGGGATTCGCGTAGTTTACGTCGATCAGTTCGAATTAACTTTATTTATTTAACCACTCGTCATTCGTTGCTTTTCCAATGGTCTTACGTAGCAAA